GTCACTCACATGTAACACCAATCATTAACCCACAGCTTCCCACTCAGCAGTTTCACAGTGAATGTCTTCCAGTGTTCCCCTCCACAGACAATCGTGTTTTCTTTCTTTCTTTCTCTTTCTTTCTTTTTTTTGGGGGGGGGAATGCTAAACAGTGTTGTAGTCCGTGTCTGTTCTCACCCGCCTCATCTCTTGCTGCTCCTTTCCTTTTCTCTGTCAGTTGAGTCGCACCCACCCATCCTATTGCCTGAGGTCATGGTGTCCCACCCCAAAAGCAAGTCTTGGCACATTCCAGCACATACACTGGGGGCTGCCAGCAACCCCCCTCTATACACATACACTCTGGCTCTGCACAGTGTTTGTGCATAATACCTGCCAGGCTCCAACAGGTGAGGTATTAGAGAAGACATTTCTAAGTGAAAACGTGTCTTACCCACTGTGGAGAACAGCGAGTTCCCGTGTGTAAATTTACAGTCCGTGTATCTGATGTTGCGCCACTTCCATCCACCCACTGGCACACCCCCTCAGTGAGAGCAAGCCAGCCATTGTACCACTGAGTGGGATGGAGCATAAGATGTATTTGATAATCGTGTTGCACCATGAACCAACCCAGCACACCTCTGAATGCACTTTTAAGCAAGATGTTTTAAGCACGCACATACAAGACACACTTTACACAATGTTGCTGTTTGTGAACAGTCTTTGAGCCACACAGGAGTCCCACAGTGTAGCAGAGCCTGACACTGACTTGGCACTGCACACATGCAGGGGAATTAAGGGCTATTTGGCAGGGTGAGGCAGTGACACACTGTCTGTCTAGAGGGCACTGTTCAGCCAATCTCCACATTAGCACGTGGGAGTTATAGCTCACAAAGTTCAGAAAAACATGTGAATTGCAGTATGTGAACCTTTGATGCTACCACTTGCTATAATTTCCAAAGCTAAGACAAGAGAATGCAGGTTGACCGGCTGTGGCCAAAGCGAAATGAAAAAACAAACAAACAAACAAACAAAAACCAAACCAGGATATACACATTCACATAAATACATAAAATTTTCACAAGATGCCTTCTATTCAGTTTTGCCCTAATTACCCACAATGAAAATGAGTTGTTCTCAGTCCACAGCAGTCTGAGATGATGTCAGACATTTTTATAGCAATGTCGCTTTTCGGTCCAATATAAACTGGTCCTCCCCAGTGCCAGACACCCCACATCAGATCTGGATTTGTCATTACTGTCTGAATGATGGTTTTGATTATATCTCAGCAAAAAAAGAAGGCAGTTAACAAGAATTCCTGTCCACAGACTGCCATGACCTTCTTACAAAAGGTCGATATATATTTGGTAAAAGATTTCTGTGACCACAGGCATAGACTTTTTTGTATAATCTCCAGTTTAGTCTTTAGCACATTTCACATGTAGGTAATAATGCTTAGTTTAATGAAACTGGCACAGGCTATTGTGTCTGTAAACATTTTTTCTTCCTGTATATGCAGGCCCCAAAGTACACTATCAGTGTAACTTGTAACTGTGAGTTGCATGTTATTATAGCTATCGTTCAAAAGGATTTCTAATGTACTAATGAGTGGAGAGAGTGTGTTGAGAGGATGGAAGGAGCACTTTGAGGAGTGCATGAATAAAGAAAATGAGAGAGGGTGGACAACAGATGGAGGAAAGTTAGTGAATCAGGAAGTGCAGAGGATTAGTAAGGAAGTGAGGGCAGCTAAGGCATGAAGAGTGGAAAGGCACTTGGTTCAGATGACATACCTGTGGATGTCTAGAAGAGGGCAGTGGACCTTTTGACACTGTTTAACTCAATCTTAGAGAGTTTGAGCCTGAGGACTGGAGAAGAAGTGCACTGGACTGATTTTCAAGAACAAGACTGATGTGCAGAGCTGTAGTAAATACACAGGGATAAAGCTGATGAGACAAACCGTAAAGCTGTAGGAAAGATTTGTTGAATCTAGGTTAAGATGAGAGGTGACGATCAGTGATCAGCAGTATGGCTTAGTGCTGAGAAAGAGCCCTACAGATGTGATCTTTATTTTGAGAGTCTCAATGGAGAAGTACAGAGAAAGTCAGATGGAGCTACACTGTGTCTTTGCGGATCAGAAAAAGCAGATAATTGGCTGCTGAGAGAGGAACTGTGGCACTGCACGAGGAAGTCAGGAATGGCAGAGCAGTATGTGAGGGTAGTGCAGGACATGTATGAGGACAGAGGCAGCGGTGAGGCGTGAGGTAAGAGTGACAGATGGCGTTAAGGTGGGGGTGGGATTACATTGGGATCTGCTCTGAGCCTCTTCTTGTTTGCAGTGTGGACAGGTTGAGAGATGAGGTCAGACAGGACTCTTCAAATGAGACTGTGATCTGTAGTGAGAGTAGGTAGCATGTGGACGAGAGCCTTCAGAGGTGGAGGTATGCTCTTAGAGAAGAGGAATGACAGTCAGGAAAAGGAAGACAGAATACCTGAATGACAGGGAGACAGATGTAACAGTCAAGCTGCAAGGAGCAGATGAGTTTAAATACCTGGGGTCAGCCAACACAAGAGAGGTAAAGCAGAGAGTGCTCCATCGCAAATATAGCAAAGAATATACAACTGGATTAATGTCAGGGGATCTGTCCAGTTAATAGCATTCACTTCTGTCTTTAAAAGAATGGTTACTTAGTTACGGACCAAACACTTCTCTACCAACATTCACCGGGCATGTGTTCATGATCTTTGGTAAAATTTAATAAGGTCTCTAACTCGTTTATTCTGTTCCAGCCCAGTACGGCCACACTGCATTAGAAACACGCAGCGGGTGTTACCAAAATTTTTTCCAATGTGGGTGACCCAGAGGAAATCAGAATATTAGATCAGAAACAAACACAGTACAGAAAACCAGGACAGAAATCATTGTTTGTGTTTTTTTAGGCTCATGTGCGGCTATGTGCCTATAACGTGAAAATTGGCAGAGCCAGAAAAGTGCTTCATATAAAATAACTGTTTAATCATACACATGTAGTAAATATCTATAGTAAAATATCTAAAGTAAATTTACTCATTACGGGGAATGGGCCTTTTCAAAATTATGCATGTTCATTAACAATGTGGACACCTTTTTAAAAAAATTTTATTACTCATGTAATACTGAGTATGTTTATCTAATAAAAAACGCATAATACATTAAAATCTCTAAAATAAGTAAATAAAGCTTTAAATTCAATAATATAGAATAAAATGCACATTATTTGCATACCAAATACAGTGGAACAGAAGTAATAGAGTCTGGAGCCTGGATCTGCCGAAGATTCTTCCTGTTAAAAGAGTGTTTTTCCTTCCCACTGACGCCAAGTGCTTGCTCACAGGGGGTAGTCTAATGGTTATATAATGGTTATATAAATAGAAACTGAACTGAACAGAACTAGAGCAGCCAAGCGGCGGTGCTCGGCCTCTAAGTTACTTCTGCCTCCGTTTGTTTTATTTATTTTTTTAGCGTAGTTTCGATCTGCCTCTCAATGCTAAAGTAACACTGCCCCAAAAGTTTTTAAAAATTACATTAAAAAATATAAAGAATAAAACTTACCGCGCTGAAGTCAGCATTCAGCAGCCTGGATTCCAGTCGCCATTTAGGTGTTAACCATCAAAGTTAGCTAACTAGGCTATCCCTACTCAGGGCACTGTTGCTAGGGTTACCAGCACTGATGTACGGAATTCTGTCAGCCAAACAGAACAGCTCCACAGGAAATAATTAAGAAATACTAAAGCCATCAAGCTAATCCCACTTACTACCTGCCACTCAAAATTCAGACTATGCACTAAAAGTAAGATTTTGTAAACATGTAGCAAAATTGTATTTTTATTTCATCTTTTTTTAATCCTTAGTTACTAATTTCTTTAAAATTAATGATTAAAAGCTGAAGAAAAAGCTAGCTGCAGTTTGCATATCTTAACTATTCAAATTAAAGGGGCTACACTCTCAGGCAGTTTTATTAGACACACCTGTTAATTTCCTCTTTATCTAAACAGCCAATCACATGGCAGCAGCTCAGTGCATTTAGAAAAGAAGTCATAGTTAGGACAACCTGCTGAAGCTCAAACCGAGCACCAGGTTGGAGAAGAAAGACGATTTAACTGACTGAATGTGGCAAGGTGATTTTTCCAGACAGCCTGGTCTGAGTTCTGTAGAAATTGTTGATTTACTGCGTTTTCCCACACAACCACCATTTGCAGAGAACTGTCTGAAAAAGAGAAAATATCCAGTGAGCAGTGGTTATCTGGGTGAAAACACCTTTTTTGACGTCAGAGGAGATAGGCCTGACTACTTAAGCTTATAAGAAAATAAAAGTAACTAATTTCCAAGGTGTGCAGAAGAGCAATCTGTGAACACAAAACTTAGCAGTGCTAGAGCAGCAGAAGACCACACTGGGTGCCACTCTTGTCAGCTGAGAACAGGAAACTGAGGATACAACTGACAAAAATTAGGCAACAAAAGAGTGGAAAATATTGCCTGTTGTGATAAGTGTGGATTTCTGCTGCAACATTTGGATGGTAAAGTCAGAATCCTGCCGTTTACAGTTTAGGCTGCTGCTGCTGGTGTAAATGTGTGTGTGGGGGAGGCGGGGGTCATGACCTGGCACACTTTGAGCCACGCTGAAACGCTACAGCCTGACTGACTGTTGTTGCCATCCATGTTCAGTATATTCATCTTGGCTGCTTCCAGCAGGATAACACACCATGTTAAAAATCCCAACACAGTTGGGTCACAAGGTACCAAGTCATTAAAGCACTTTTGGGAATCAGTAGAACACGACTACAGGAACTGAATGACACCATCATGTAAATATATCCCATAATCTAACCCATGATGAGAATTTGTCATTTCTTTATTTAAGGCATGTGTGAAATTTAAAAAAGGTCCAACTCAGGATTAGCAATGTGTACCTAAAAAAGTGGCCAGCTAGTGTGGATGCATAATGCGGACTTTAATGTCTGCTATAAATGACAAGGAAATGTTGCAGTACATTCACAAATAGGTTTTATTTTAAACTTTTTTTTTAATACATTATATCCATACCCAACACATTTTATATTATAATAAAATGACTCTTGTCATTTACATAAATCAAGGATTTGTGTATTAAGACTGCAAAATAGTACTGTAATTTTTGTATATAGCTTTGTACACATACAGGTGACAATGCATCCATTTTGCTCTTTACAAATGCACATTTTTTTGGGGGGTGGGGGAGGGGATAAGAAAGGGCAGCCATAAGCAGAGGATACAAGAGCTCTAGCAAGACAGCAGGATAGTAAGTAAAACCACCACCAATACTGACCTGGGTTACAATGCTCGGTCAGACCCTTTGTACGACTTGAGAAGTCTGATGTCCCACTTGAAGTCAGGTTGTACTTTTAACAAAATTAACTGGGTTTAATCACAAGGAAAAGCATTTTAGCAATAATTCAACCGAAATCTTTCAAGAGCGAGCCTCCGGGTTGGCTGCATCCAAGGAGAAAGCTCAGAGCGCCACATGTAGCGGTACGGTGAAAATATATACACCTCAGGGGGAAAGTACAGACAGACAACATAGAAAGAAAATGTCAAATAAAGCCAACATGATTGAAATCTCTTAAACATTGCAGATTCAGGATTCTGATAAAAACACCACCTAATCATCCCCATCATGAGTTGGGAAACCAAATACACAAACAGTATTAGAAGATAATAAACCATGCTATATTGTCCCATGAATACATTTTTGTTTCCTCAATGTCAAACACATTTTGGCATATAACGGCATGTGTGTCCTCCCATGTGAGACCGAGTGTGGGATGCAAATTGAAATAAATGCTGAAGAAATGATGTCAATCAACACTTAGATCACTGACTAAGAAAATGAGAACATTCAAATTACAGTTTCATACTGTTCATGAATCTGCACACAAGAAAAAGATCAGCCATAAAGAAAAAAAAAGTAGTAGTTGTGAGTACCCTCTTTGGTTTGTGACATTGTTCATTTGCCAAAAAAGTGAAAATGACTCCTTACACGCTCATTTGCCCTGGATTCTACTCTCAAACTCGATTATTATATTGCAGGTAATTGCAACAGAACCTTTTAGCATTTATGATTCTAATTAAAGTAGCTGCATTTACCTTCAATAAAAGCAATCGCGAGTTTGCAAGTAGATAATATGCTTTGATTTCCCTACGATTTCCACCAAATCTCTACAGCAGGTTATTTAATAAAATACAGTCCCATGTGCCATCACCCATTGCCATAGAAAAGGTTAATACAGAATATCTGACAATACAAAATAAGTTTGTCAAAGCAAATTTAGCTGACACACTGGCAGCCCTTCAGTGCTTTACATCCTCTGTAGCAGTGTGGAAAAATGAGCTGTGGCTGCTCTCGACACTGTCAAGGTGAAGCTGTGGTCTTACAGTACAATGACTCAATGGGCCCTGCTGCTGGTGAAGAAATAACTGGGGAGGGGGAACAAAAACTGTATGAAGCTATAGCAACAAGAAAAAAGTGCCAATATTTGTGAGAGCTTCTGTGTGTACACGTACAGGATATGCACGTGTACGCACAGAGGTCCCGAGACGTGGCAGGGCAGCGTGGGAGCCCGGTCACTCGGCGCCGCGGGTGGGAGTGCTGGGCTGGTTGAGGCCCATGGTTTTGCACAACCAGCCGGCAAAGTCCACTTCCTCCACTTCTGATCGCTTGATGAATGTGTGACTCTAAGGAAAAATGAAACTTCAGTTTTTACTGTTATCAGAAAAACTAAACAAAAAACAGATGGGTTAAGTATCAAATTAAAAATAATAAAATTATAATAAATATTAGGGTGCCCACCATGAGCATCTTCAGATCCGCTCTCTCGGCTGGGTTTTTAATCAAACTGCAGACAAAAATGAGATAAATATGTTAAACATAAGTAAAATATCCTTTGCATGCATGTCGTTCACCATGTATATGCAGAGGGTTAGATGCTAGAAGGCCTTGTTCTGTTTCAGAGTTCACCTTAAAACACGAGTTTACCATGTATGCACGCATGTTCTTTAGTAGTTTTGACATCAGCCGCAGTGCAGTATAGACTTTAGACAAGACTGATGTAGAAACATGTGCAACAATTATCTGAAACAATATCTCTGTATTCATAGATTTTTTAAAAAGGTAAAGAACAGTAGATACTATTCTGAACTATTATGGCAAAAACTTTATTTTTATCACTAGTCCAGACGGGATCTTTATCAGAGTGTGGTGCTGACTTGTTTCCTAACCACCTCAAACCTGCACAAGCACAAAAACTACATGCATGCATTTAATTACAAACAACTCTTGCAACAGGTGTGTGAAGCAATTTGGAAATGTCAAAGTTTTCTGAATAGCTTCCTTTCATAATTCTTCATGAGCTGAGAAAAGAAAGACAAACGTCACATTCGGTGCTCACCATTTTGTCACAAAGTCCTGGAAGTCACTGGTGAAGACACCAAGCGGCAGTTTGGGGGGTGGCTGAGGAGGAAGCAAGAGTTAAAGATTATACACTGACTGAGGAAAGATGTGAGTGTTTGTTCATACTGTGGAAAAAACAGACATTGCTCAGACCTCATTGACAATGTAGTCCAAAAGTTCAAAGATGGCCATGGCAGGTCTGCTGTCCATCCCAGATCCTGTGGGAAAAGAAACAGACACAATCTCTGGTTAGTCTTCTTTAGAATACATTTAAATGCTTTAGTTTTCATTTTACTGTGCATTTTCTCAAACTGTACAACAACACAGCAGCTCTCGTGCTGCCAAAAGCTCTGTATGAGCTCTTGTCTCTTTAAGGCAGCCATTATAGTCTGTTGCAGACACCAACAGCTGACACCAGGGCTGAGTAATCATTCCTGAAGTCTGCATGTGTATTTGGGGAATTGTGATGTAAAGTTCAAGTTTGCACATAACCATTTCTCTTTTATTTTTTTAAAAATTAAATTTAGGTACTGTGAGCCCAGTCATCTCTACTGGACGACTCAACTGTCATGTAAAGCTCTTCAGCAAGGCTAGAGACTAGTTAAGTGCAGAGATTATGTTTCCCCATGAGGATCAATAAAGATTTTTTTGGCTTTATTCAAAATTACAAAGTTGGACCACACAACCAGAATGTGATTGCTCTATTCTCCTGTGGATGCCAGACAGGTTAATGCATGAAAACGATTTCATGCATTACTGTTACTGAATTATGAATGTACCGTGGGGGTTTTGTTAAAAACATGTATACCATTGGAAGTGTGAACATAGACAGCCCAGTTGCACAAAAGGCTAACCCTCACCCTGTCAAAAGTCACCATCTTCAAATTTCCACATTTTCTGATTGTCCATTGCATTATGATTTTGACATAGCTGTGACCTGTGAGTCAGCTCTGAGCATACAGTCAAAGTAGAGTCAAAGTTGGCATGTTAATTGGCAGCCAAAACTGCCAATTAACATGCCAACTTTTCCACTGCTGTGAGGACAGGATTGTCAAACAACAACAACAAAAAACAAACAAACCCTTACCCGCTAGGCTTCCAGTTCCTCAGATGCTAGGAGTGCATAAAGACTAATGTTTGTTCTTAAAGCCAACAACAGAAAATTTGGTTGAGATATTTCAGAGTTCGCTGTGAGGCATCCACTCATACACTGCACGAGGCCACGCCAGAGTAGCTGCTAGTCAAGCATTATGGAAACGTGTTACACACTGGCCTCGGTAAGGTTAGGAGCAATGTTTGCTTTTGGGAGAGTATAACTCCCTTCGTTGCAGACTTCACAAATCTTTTGCATACACAAAACCGTAAACAAGACACTAAAGGGAGGAGAAAACCCACAAAGCATAATATGAGCACAAATCTAATCTAATGTCAAGTAATCTGCATAAGTTTATAGGCACGTGTGTGTGCTATTGCCCTTCATACCACTTATAGGCCTTCCGGGTGGTCTAGGCCTCTGCATGTTGACGTGAGGCTCTCCCTCAGCCCCATCCACAACGGCCCGTCCAAAGATGGCCTCCAGTTCTCTGGTGTCTGGTGGGGGGATGGGGTAGCGGCCAATCGCCAGCTCTACCAGAGACAGACCCATGCTCCACACGTCAGACTGAACCGAGTAATGAGTGCCCTGCAGTCTCTCCGGCTGTTGAGAAACACATAACTACGTCACAGAGCCGGTGAAGCCAAGATGCCAAGCAGGAGAGAGGGCTGGGCGGCGAAGGCACAGGAAGTGGAGGAGAGAAGTGGGAAGAGAAGAGGAGGGGGGTGTTATGGCAAGCAGAGGTGGGGTGTGGTTAGGGCAAGAGGACAGAGAAGAGGGTTTGGCAGGAAGTGGACAGCAACTTTGGACTGTTTTAGGGGTGAGCAAGGACAGGTGTGTGCGTGTTTTAGGAATTGCAATCAAAGGGCAAGCTTCTCTGCACCAGAGGTGCTTTTTTGGGAGTAGGATTAGACACACAAGCAGCTTTTGGCACTGCACCCACCAGGTATCTAAGAGTGAGGGGAAAGGACGAGAAAGCTCAAGCACAGTTGCCTCCCTCATTGCCAAAGAGCCCTTCCTGGGTACAGCCCGTGGTTCTTGGCAGGGGAGTGAGGGAGGGCCAGAGGAAAGGAAGGCAGAGGGTGGAACCAGAGAACAAGAGCCATGTGAGAAGAGTGGAGAAGGAAAGTGGGGATAGGGCCAGAGGAAAAGGGGTGGGGGCGCAGGCGCGCAGAGCTGACTCACCGACATGTAGGAGCGCGTTCCAACAAAGGAGTTGGCCATGGAATCTATGAGCTGGCCGCTAACACCGAAGTCGCACAGCTTGATCTCCCCACGAGAGTTGACCAGTATGTTGGAGGGCTTGACGTCTACATGGCAGAGGGGACATGGACAAAAACAAATGCGCATTACATTTAAAAGAAGAGGCTCTTCTTCATACTGTGTTTCATCTGTCATTCCTTTGGCTTACAAGTTTCTGTATGCAAGAGAAAGCACAGATTTATTACTAAATTATACCTAAAGAAACAGCAGACACTGCTATACTGGTGTTCTGATTTGCACGCTTCTGTGCAAAACATTTAGGAATTGTCATTTTCAGAAATAATACCATTAACATTTTTTTCTTCAAATACAAAGTACAGAGAACAAGGAAAACAAATGAATACTTGGTGTGACCACCTTGTACCTTTAAAAATAGAATAATTACTCCTTGACACACACGCACAGTTTTTCAGTGTTTGTTGCAGGCTGTTGCAGACATGGTGATAACATGTTTTTCCTGTGCATTTCTGTGTCTCTAAGATGTGGCGGCTACAGCAGCTGCTGCACATTTAAACATCTTAATTTCCTAAAACTTTTTGCACTGAACTCTATAGAGCTTTGCGAACGTGTTTGTAAACCCCCCTTGCTTGATGTCTGAATGGGCCCCAGGTCACCTTTCTCTGCTTTGCTCTCGTGAAAACTGCACATGCCCAAAAAGGCACATCTATCATGTCTGCTTTTATTTTGTTTTGCCTGTTTCTTTCTCTCCATCATGGGGAGAATTGAAGCTGTAAGGAACATAAATCTGACCCAAGTTTGACTGACAGAATGACATGACTTTTAATGTCGCTGAAACTAGCATTATGTGCTTATACATGTGTGAAGTGAGAGCACAGCATTTCGATATTTTGCGTGATAATTAAAAGAGGGACACCAAATATCAATAGTTTATGATGTAATCTCTAAATAGAAATTTAATCTTTTAGTGGTAGAATGGGACAAAGAAGAAAAAAAAAAGTTTCCTACGAACGTTAAAAATAATCTGAGAAAACTACAAACACAAATGCTCATCTCACGTTCGGCCATCCTGAGATAACGTTAGCTGACCACGGCAAAGTTAAATCGGTTCAACCAAAGAAGCCAACCAACACTTGACATACTTAGGTTGGCATCCTGGTATCTTCCAATTCAGAATGAGCCAAGAAAGCAACACAATCCATCCCCCTACTTGCGACCACAATCTTGTGGATTTCTCTTACATGCTCGAGCTTCTGGAACTCAGAAGCATGACGGCATCACATTTTACCCCATCACAACCTTTCCTGGATTCTGATTTTCAGATTCATATGAGTCTATAACAGCTCGTTATCTCACAGAAGACTGGTGACTCAGGTCTCTCATTCAAAATGTGTGCAATAGCACTGTAGTCCATACATGCTCGTCCATACAAGTTGACCTAGGCTGTCCGATCAGCCTGTCCGCTTCACAATTTCACTTTGCAGCAATAAAAACAACTAAAGCGATTCTCTGGCGAGTCCCTCCTACAAGAATACTGTGATATATGTAGGGAAAACATTTACGTTCATCTATTGTTTGTATCCCAGTTTTTATGTGAGACAATACCATGAACCTATGCTTTCCACGATGGATAGAAAACGCTTTCTCACAAATACAGATCGTTCATGCTTCATAGAAATATTGAAAACAGGACTACAGTCTTCCGTGCAGGCCACGGGTGGCATGTACAGAGCTCCCAGCTCTTGCTGAGTCCCTGTTGTAAACAAGCCCAGTCCTCCACATATCCAATTCATAGCTGAAAAACATCCTGCAAAATAATGGTGTAGGACTGAGCCCTGCAATCTGTCCTCTGCGGTGTATGACCCCCTCCCACCGACCAAGGACACGTGAGGAGAAGCTGAGAAAGAAATGGCATGAAAGAGCGGGAGAAAGATGGAGGGAGACGTGGAGGGAGGGGTCAACAGGGTGCGGTTGCTCTATAATCACATCTGAGAGGCTGTAATTACCGCCTGAGCTCACAGACAACTCTGTCCTGGAGTACCACCGACCCTGTAGCACTGAAACTTCACTGCACGATGCACTTCTTGCTGCTCCCTTTCTCAGTAATTTTCACAACAGCACACCCATGTGTCCTCACTTGTGTGCAGAGAAAAACCTGCCTGAGATGCTGTGACCTGTCATTTCAATGAATACAAATAATGTTTTCATGAGGACAATGTTTATTCTACAAATTCCCTTGATGAGAAACTTGTTATTTCCCCCCCCCCAAAAAATAGCTGGTCCCGTATGTGCATACGTGTGCTAAAGCTCTTAAGATGCTGATGCATGTGAAGGGAGAGCAATGAAGACAATTAATACAAATTCAAATGAAGAAGTACAGATACTACTGGCGCCCGTTGACTGGATGTGGTGCATTTCAAGTGGTTACACTAACCGAAGTTCAGACGTCTGGAAATACCGATCAGACCTAATGTCCAAAAAGCTTTATCTTATAGTTTAAGAAACTATAATCCATGATCTGAATCTCAACCGGATGTCTCTAAGAAGTGTCTACAAAAACACTGATAACCTATTATCAAATGAGGCTGACGTGCCACATATTTTATATTTTATCCAAACCCAAATAACTCTATGAAATCACTGTGTTACAAACAAACTCCATATTTGGGCTTTAATATACTGCAGAGATTTGAAAGTGTTCCAAATGAGATTTTGAGCACAACTGTAATTTATCGGGACTCAAAAACAGCATTACCTCTGTGCATGATCTGGTGCTTCTCTCGCAGATATGCCAATCCCCTCAACACCTGTAAAGGAGAAAAAAACCCCCCAAAACATTCAGTTTACAGACATACAATCTAGGAGTCCACACACACGGGACTGTACTGTGCATGCAACTTATGCATTATTGGACAACACACAGCTAGTTGAGCAACATCACAACCACAAGCAAAACCACAAAGAACAGCACACATGCAAAAATAGGCACAACCCTTTTGTTTATATTGCTGCCAAATTCGAACAGCAACTATATTTCAAAAGAAAAAGGTGTTGGATTAAGTCGCTCTGTGGTCAAAATTTAAGCATCCAGCATACATCCATATGCTGTCCACAATTACAGGTGGACACAGGATTCATTTAGCTCAATATGTGACTACGGTCAATATCTCTTAACCTTAAGTGCTGTGCAGAGCATCTCACATCACAGTTCAGTGTTAACTGTAAAAGTTTTCCTTTGACCTTCTGGATATAAAATATTTGAATTTCTTCATTTTACCCTAGTGGACATGTTTAAAATTGTGTAATAAATAGGATATGACCTTCTCAGAAAATCTGCTTTGTGGTCAGAAACGCCTTAAAATCCTCGAGTCCAGAATTATTTTCACACATCACCTCCAGCCGTAAACCTTTCTAAACATTACCTGATGGGATGTGAGAACGTGAATGACCGACAAAGTCGACATTAAGTACACTTTAACCACCAGCTGCCAAAGAGTCTGACTGCTCTGATTTTTGGAGATTAAGAAAAGAAAGCAGAAATTATTCTGCAGAGCCTCCTGCCTCAAAACATCAGGAAGCGAACTCGTCTAAACCAGAGTGAAAATGTGTCTGATGTTGACCTGCTGTGTCACGTTATCAATTTCAGAAACTTATCAGGCCCGACTCTCCTGACATCGTCCACAGTTCATGTGAGAAGACTTGTGAAGCGAATCATATTTTACAGCCTGTAAATAAACACCTAAAGCCACAAAACAAAAACAAACAAACAAAGTAAAACATCAACGGTGTACGCACAGCTATGCTAACTTTTCCAAGGATTTCTTCTGGGATTCTTCTGGCTTCTTTAAGAACCTGGTCCAAGGATCCGCCATCCTGCAGAGACCAAAACAGCCCATGTTAAGACAGACAAAACTGCCTGTAGCTGTGGGAACGTGTGTGTTGCACAACATAAGAATTCTCAGGTGATGCGATTCGCAAAATCGATTCCAGTCTCACAAAGAAATTGCAGCTAACAATCTTTGTCTCTCACCATGTGCTCCATACAGATGCTGATCTCTCCATCACTGTAGAAGGCGCCATAGAAGCCCACAATATAGGGTGAGTTGCATTCATGCAGGACCTGCAGCTCTCTGATAATCTGGTTTCTGATGGCAGGTTTGATTTCCAGGTGGATCAACTGACGAGAAAAAAAACAAAAAACAAAACAAAAACAAAACACAGAAACGAAATACTGTTTTAATTTAAGTTGCATGCAGACGATGCAGTTACACCATCTGAGGTCCCCTTTTTACACTTGTGGCACTTTGTTAGGCACACCTGCTCGACTGCTCATTAAAACACAAATAGCTAATCAGCAACAAACGGCAGCAACTCTGTGCATTTAGGCATGTACTTGTGGTCAAAACGAGCTGCTGAAGTTCAGATGATAAGAATGGGGATGAAAGGTGATTAAAGTGACTGAACATGGTTGTTGGTGCCAGGCAGGCTGGTCTGAGTATTTTAGAAACTGCTGATCTAATGGGATTCTCCCACACAACCATCTCCAGGGTCCAAAAAAAGAGAAAATATCCAGTGAGCAGCAGCAGTTCTGAGCAAAAATACTTGCTGATGCAATGGCCGTAGAGCTTTGAGTCAATGGGAAGGCAACAGTAACTCAAATAGTCACTCATTGCAACCAAGGTATGCAGAAGAACATCTCTGACTGCACATTGCTTTGAACCTTCAAGCAGATTGGCTACAGCAACAAAAACCCACAGCGGGTACCATTCCTGTCAGCAAAGAACAGGAAACTGAGGCTACAACTTGCACATCTCACTAAATGTGAACAGTAGAAGGCTTGATCTGATAAGTCTTGATTTCTGCATTTGGTGTAAACAACATGAAAGCACGGATCCATCCTGCCTTGTATCAATGGTCCAGGCTGCTGGTGTGGGGGACAGTTTCCTCACACACTTTGAGTCCCTTGGTACCAAATAAACATTGTTCAAACACCACAGCCTACATGACTATAACTGCTGACCTTGTCTATCCTTTTATGGCCACAGTGTACCATCCTCTGATGGCTGCTTCTAGCAGGATAATGCAATGTCACAACGATCACATCAAACTATTTTTTTGAACACAACAGTAAGTTCACTGCAGTCAAATGGCCTCCACAGCCACCAGATGTCAAGAACCTTTGAAATGTTGTGAAACCAGAGATTCACATCATGGATCTGCAGCAGCTTCATAATACCATTATGTCCGCATGGACCATAATCTCTGAGAAATGTCTCCAGTTTAGAAGAACTTTCAACAAAGGTTCAACTGACATCCACAGGCCTCAAGCCTGAGCTCGCTTAGACTGCTGCTGCCACATCTGTATAAAGTCTAGATAACTTACTACATTCATTCTTATATACCCACAAAGAGATAGATACTAAGAGATAAGTATTTAGTGTATGAAACTACACTTTGATAGTGTGAAAGGAAATTTAAAAAAGTGTAACATAATGGCAAATATCTTTCGTAAAAGCACACAAGATAAGATAATACTTGTGATAAGGATGCCATTAGGGTTTGTCGTTAAAAAAAAAAAGTGAAGGTAATATAAACAAAACATTTCACAATGGAAAAAAATGTGTTGGCGCTCTTTGATAAGCTGAGCTATGCAGCTCAGGCGCTGCCAATAAAATACCTCAGGCATATCTTTGACATTTACCTGAAACATTTTTGTTTCTGAACTTCAAAACTAACCGTTTTGTTGTAACCGTTTTATTATTTTCAGTTCCCTTGTCTTTCTCCAGAAAGAGGCGTTTCCAGACATGGTGCACTGATAACATCTTAGACTTGAAGTGGAATGCAGTTTTTTTTACTTTCACTTGGAGAACAGCTGTTAAACAATCATTCTTCACCTTCCGAGCCATGACCAAGCCCGAGGGTTTGTGGCGGACTTTGTTGACCACCCCTCCGTTTCCTGCACCCAGCTCACATATGGGTTCGAAATCTTCATCCTTCAGCTCCCCAACCTGGGCTTTCTGGGTGAGAAAGGCTTCCAGCCGTTTCCTCTGCTGTTCATCCAGGTCCAGCTCCCCCAGCTTCTTCTGTAAGGCCTCGAGGTTGGCTCTGTAAGGAGGTGGCATTTGGTTTAGCAGAGTTCCTTAAAAGGAGTGAGAATTAACATATGCACCTCCTTGTACGGTGGTGCAGAACGAAATCTTGTGCAACTCCAGTAACAGCCAATTACCTCGGTATAAGGACAAAGCAATTCACGATTCAGTGGTTTAACACAATTAATCATAAGGCACAGCACTTACTCAGATGCAGCATCAATGGTGTTGGAGGTGGCCTGTCCCTCTCCAATGGGCGTAATATTAAGGGGACCGGGTTTTCTTTTGGGGCCCATTTCAATAACAACCCGAATCGACTTTGTCCAAAATTTAAAAATAAAATTAACGAAAAAGGCAAAAAATTAAAAAAGAAGCACAAAACTGCAGTGAAGTGGGCTGCTGCTAGCCTAACCTTTCCCTCGTGTGAAAGTCAGTATTAAAAAGCAACAGGATCAGCTCTAGTATAACTTGGCTAGCTAACGTTAGGCTAAGTTAGTGCACTTTCGGAAGCATGTCACTTAGTTAATCTGGTAAAACCTATCACCACGATGTGCTCTTTAAAAGTCAGACAGCTTCTTCGGTTTAACTGACTTATAGAATTCGAGGTTTAGACATTTCTGTCACTCAGCTTCTTCTTGGTTTTCTACCTGCTGCTGCTAGCCATTAGCCACCTAGCTGCTCCTGCTAACTAGCGCTACCTCCTGCAAACTCGTGCCTTGCGCCTCTCAGTCCGAACCTGCAGCCGCCTCTCACAGCACACGGGGCCGCCTGCCACGCTTTTACCGGCAGCTACACCGGGACACCGACTCGGCTTGTTTCCCTAAGCGAGAGGGCGGGGTACGAAAAGTAAATCCGTCCGCGATACAGTCCGGGGTGTGGGGTTATCAAGCAGCGAAAAGGACTGTGGCTAATACAGGAAGCAAGCAGCTGCCTGCAGCATCAGACCTGACACCAACAGGGAGAGCCCGTGATAAATAGCGCGAGATTGGCTTTGGCAAGTTGATACGAGATATGCAAAAAGAAAAAAAAAAATCTCATGGGTGGGTGGATGACATATGCAGTTTGTGGTAACACCTCCAGTACATTGTTTTTAACGAGGAACAAGCTCATTTTAACCATATGTCATCTGCCCTGTGCAGCTTTTTGTATTTATTAGTAACAAGTAAACACACAAGAACAGAAGAGGGGGGCAGTGTTTGCTGCCATCTGCTGGCGGTGGTTGGCAATAACAGGCTCAAGTGAAGATAGTTTCACTTAATCTTAAATCAGAAACGATCGTGATATGAAACTAAAAATATAAAAGACCCCACCTGGGAGCGATTTTCTTCTTCTTAATTGTACATCGTAAAAAACTGTATTTTTTTAGGGGGGGCGGAGTGTTGTACAGTTTAAAAAAAATGATTTCTTTTTAGAAAAATGTCCATATATACACTAATATTTTATGGGGTCTTTTTTGTCCATGCTCTACCGGTAAAATTCGATTGAGTGGCTTTAGAGTCATCTTGTCAAAAAATCAAAAAGATTTCTATTTTGGCATGAGCTTTCTATTAAAATAATTATGTTTCATATAACATGTACCTGTGTGGAAAAACAAACCACGGTCATCTATGGCCTAATGTTAATATATCAAATGAATGAATCATTCTCTGTTGTCGTCTTTTACAAACAGTAAATACCACAAGTTTCCCCAGATTTCCTGTGCAAAAAAGGTTTTCGATGCCAGTGAGATGTATTCATGTACTCGTACTCATTAATAAAATATATGGTATAACAACCAAGCAGATACCATTTTTAGATGGCTCAGTTTTCAGTAACATCCTGAACTGTGAGACAGAACACTGTATATAATAAGTATCACACTATCATCTGGTTATGGACAGGAAATGAGTACATTAGAGGTACAGCTCAGGTCGATCGCTTTGCAGATAAAGTTAGAGAGATGATCTGGACATGTACAGAGATAATGATACACTGGACAAAAGGTGCTAAATATGGAGTCAGTAGAAGAAGAGGAGGAGGTTCATGGATGAAGTGAAGGAGGACACACAGAGGACTGGGGTGACAGAGGAGGATGCTGGGTTAGGGTAGGAATAGAGATGATCTACTGTAGTGACCTCTAAAGACAGCAGAAGAAAGAAGAGGCGCACTTATCATGTGCTTCTTTTGTGGGGAAAAAATCCTGACAGTCTTGTGATCTGCTGTGACTCTTTAATATATCTTAGTCAAGTTCAACATCACTATGATAAAAAGAAACTCATCAATGAAATTTGTAATATTAAAATATTTACAAAATATTGTTGTAGTTGGATGGATCTTCCTTCCAGTGTGAACAAGCAGACATGTTCGTATTATTAAAGGTCACTTGATCAGATAAATAAAACATAAAACAGATGGTTTGTTAAGCAACCTGAAAAAACAGACACATCCATTACACTAAATAAGTGCTGCCCAGCAATTAACAAATAGATTTCAGAGTTCCACATGAATCACCAAACCTGCCAAACTCTAAAGATGTCTAAAGGTGTGGATGACTGTGTTTGATTCAGGTTTTTAAAAGTTTTTTCAGTTGACCAATAATGTGTCCAGAACTGGCTGGTCCATCAGAGTAGAGGCCCAGAGCACCAGAATTTCATCACAGGATCTTTAAATAACTCTTCCAGCAGTTTGCCTTAAAACCCACTATAATAAAGAGATTTTTAGATTATTAAACTAGTGTTTGACATTAAAAACATGAGGCGAGCCCAGGTCTTTTGGGGTAATGTTCTCCCCACAGAGGAATCAGCGCACTGGTTGGCAACGGAAACATGAGGGCAGACACGTGACCTCAGGAGAAGAAGCTTGCAGCTGTTATAAAGCACAGTGCTGGGTTGGTTTAGAGCATTGTTGCTGCCTTAGGGAATGAATTCCTTTCATGAATTCTTTCAGCTGTGATTTCCTCAACATTTCAAAATATGGTTCAAGTACATGTGAGGCCAGTAGACCCAAAACTGAAGTTGGATTGGAAGTGGAGCTTTCAGAGTAATGATCCCCTGCGTACAGACAAATCCAGGGAATGGCTCAAATGGAAGGGGGGGAAAAAAAAGAATGGCCTGCTATGCAGTTTTGAAGATCACGGTGATATAATGGAGGGATTTGAAATGGGAAGGAAAAGCAATAAAACCTTCAATAATCCTGCAACTGAAAGAGGCGTCAAAGCTTTAGTCAGAATGGGGACAAATGCAATGCTGGCATAATTTCTGCTAAAGGGGGTGCAAGTTTCTAAGAATAAAGGTGCGCTCACTTAAAAAACCCCATATATTATATCAAAGCTTTTGTAGCAGAAATGACTAAATGAGGCTGTTTTCATGTTGAAGTTTCTGTCTCTAATCTGTGGACGCCATACAGAAAGAGGACCAAGTATTTGTGTAGTCTTTTCTTCAGATGTGAAAAATGAATGTTGTTTTTTTTCTACATTAAAACAAACAAACAAACAAAAAAAAACTCTGACAACTCCGGGAACTGTTTTTGTGACAGAATGGGAAACAACTACAGATAAATACGTGTTGCTTTTGTCTGTGATGAATATAAAGGTTTCAGTTGTGCTAAACCTGAATCCCCACTTAGACTGCAGTGTGACATTGTTCCAGTACGCTACTGATCGCTATCGTTCTCATTTCCTGTCAGCACTCAACGGCCTAATAATGGCAAAAATAGTTTACAAAATATTTCATGTAACTATGACATCCCAGTGATGTTACCAGTGGTAATCTTTTATTTTTAAAACAGTAAAACCCCCACAATCCTCCCTGATACTCAGGCGGGATGGATTTTATTCAAAACACATTTTCTTCTTCTGGAGTTGAAGCGTACCTTTTTTAAGAAAATGAGGCACGCTGAACAGTTCAAAGTTTGCAATCCATCACAAGGCTGCCCAGCTCAATAAATTCAGAAAATCTAAGATAAAAAAAAAAAAAAAAAAAAAAAATGCAGACTGCTGTTTTTAAGAACTGATTTTTAATTAATTCCACACGTCAATAACAGCTGTTAGAATACGATCATTTTTTTTCCTTTTTTAAATTTTACAGTTTTATCCTCAACAGGCATCAAATGAGTCCCCAGATCTGAGCTTTTGGTACAGAACATGACAATCCACATGTTAACCAGTCCTCCCAGTAGTGAGTGGCATCAGCTTCCAGTGCTGCTGCCCTCTACAACTTCTTATTTTCCACTTGCCTATAGGAACTGGAGGCAATTCAAGGCTTAATAAAATATTATTTAAATTTTATTGTCTTTAATATGAACATATATAAAAAAAACAAAAAACAAAACAAAAACAAAACATTTACATCATGGATTGTAAGCCTCTGCCCATGCTACCTTATGCATTATTACAAGAAGAGATGCCACTACAAAAACACCAGACCCTCAGCTCGCTCTCTAGCTCTCAATCTGCAAAATTACCTGGCTCAGTTCCACAGCAACTACCTGCACCATCTCTCATCTTTAACCACAAGGCAATGAGAAGTTTAGGAGAGCCAAACAAATAATGACCTTCTCTAACATAGCAACAAATGAAAAACGTGATTTTCATATGTATAGCAGTTAATTACAAATGCAGAATGCCTTAAAGGCGGCTATTAGAGTTCTTTACAATATTTTGCTTCAAAGCACCTTAAATATCTTTTCAGGGACACACTGATGCGATAGAGGCCAAATGCCATCAATCAGTCTTGTGCGGATTCCCAAAATATTTTTCTCTGTATATTGATTTTGTGAGCCGTCAAAAGAAGAAAAATGGAAGACCACATTTGACTCCATCTACTTTTTCAATCATCAACGACGTCAGAGGATGCACTTGGAACAGTGAGGCCTCAGATTGATGTGTATATGTCATTTCTGTGCACTTGAGCAAGTCAAAAGAAATCCTGTGCTGACAGTAAAGGGAAGCAAAACATGCAGAACGCCTTTCCAACCCTGTCACGGTGGAATAGGACCGCGTCCACTTTCACATTTTCTGATTCGTATGGACAAGACGAATGATGACAAATGTTCACAATGGGCGGGGGTCCCTTAATACGCACTACATGGGAGCTTTTAAAATAAATAAAGCATTATTAAGTCGATGAATGCATCACATGAAAGTGCAAACAGCTCTAGCAAGTTTTTTTCTTCTTCTTCTGAAACCAACACTGATGATCCCCCTGCAGATAAACACAAATGCATGCCCAGAGTCTCTCTTACTGCTTCCCCAGTGGGGGTGGCACAGAGCGGAGCAGACAGGTGAAGTAAATACAACAACTCTAATGTTACTCCAAGAAGCCACTCCTTCTGCCGATAATGTTACAGCACTGACCAAGAACAGGAGGATAGGATCCGAGCCAGTGTTCCTCTGGGCCTACAAGACGGGTATCTGCAAGATTAGCTACAAGCTTCAATAAAAATGCTTAACAACACAGAATTGGGTAAAAATCTACAATCAAAATCTAGAATAAGAAAATGGGGGGGAAAAAAAATCGAAGTTGTAGCTGTGGTTAACACTGCCACCAATCCCAAGCAGTAAATGCAGAGAAAACACTGATCCCTGTGTGAGGAGCAGCCATCACATATAGACAATATTAGTGCAGGTGCAGAGGAAGTTGTAAGCCTACAGCATGTAGCAATTAAAGTCCAATTCTATTGCATCAAATAGATATGACCTTATCTACATTGAAAGTAGGCAGAGAAGGGCTGCTGGTCGAAGCGCGCTACTTGTTCCAGACACGACCATCTGTAACCTAATCAATGACTTTCAACTTGTTGGGGTTGCACTCGATGACACTTCATTAAGTTTTGTTGTGTCAGACATGTTGAACCCACTGCAGCAAAATACTCCGAATGGCACTTTGACCCAGGTCGGATTCATTCAGTGGCAAAGAAAGCAGCGTTCAACAGCAGAGCAGTGAGCACAGATCAATGTACATCTCCACACCAAATACCAGCAATGAAGAGCTCCAGTCTATACA